ATAGAAACTCTCATCACTACACAAAGTCTTAGAAACTAAACAACCTTCTGCTGAACAATTATTGCATTAAGGAAGAAATCAAGATGGAAATCAAAAGCATCTTTGAACTAAATGATAAAGGAGACACAAGTTATCAAAATCTGTGGGACACAGCTAAAGCAGTACTGAGAGGAAAATTTATATTGGAAGACAGAAAGATCACAAATAAACAATCTAATGAATTATCTCAAAGAACTGGAAAAGGATGAGCAAACTGACCCCAAACCCAGCAGAAGAAAAGAAATAACAAAGATAATAGCAGAACTAAATGAAATTGATAACAACAAAACTATATAGAAGATTAATAAAGCAAAAAGTTGGCTCTTTGAAAAAATAAGCAAAATTGACACATCTCTTGCTATATTAATGAGAAGGAGAAAATAAAGGACTCCAATAAGCTCAGTCAGGAATGAAAAAGGAGAAATTACAACTGATACAGTGGAAATACAAAATATCATCTATGAATACCATAAAAACCTCTATGCAAATAAACTTTAAAACATGGAAGAAATAGACAAATCTTAGAAATACACAACCTCCCTAATTTCAATCAGGAAGAAATAGAATTCCTGAACATACCAATATCAAGTACCAAAATAGAAACATCAATAAAAAATCCTTCCTAAAAACAAAAGTCCCAGACCAGATGGTTTCACACCTGAATTTTACTAGACCTACAAGAAGAACTGGTGCCTACCTGCAGGAATTAGTCCACAACATCAAGGAAGGGATCCTCCTCAACACATTTTAGGAAGCTAACATCACCCTGATACTAAAACCATATAAGGATGCAACAAAAAAAGAATACTACAGACCAATATTCTTCATGATTATAGATGCAAAAATTCTCAAAAAATCTTTGCAAACCAAATTCAGGTGCTTTTCAAAAAAATAATACATCATGACCAAGTGGGGCTTCATCCCAGAGATGCAGGAATGGTTCAGCATATGCAAATCTATAAATGTAATTCACCACATAAATAGAAGCAAAAACAAAGACCATATGATCCTCTCAATAGATGCAGAAAAAACATTCGACAAAATTCAACACTCTTTTATGATAAGAACACTTAACAAAATAGGCATAGATAGGACTTACCTAAAAATGATATAAGCCATAAAGGACAAACCCACAGCCAACATCACATTGAACAGGGAAAAAATCAAAAGCATTCCCACTTAGAACTGGAACCAGACAAGATTGCCCTCTATCACCATTTCTATTCAACACAGTGCTAGAAGTCCTAGCCACAGCAATAAAACAAAAGAAGGAAATCAAGGGCATCCAGATGGGGGTAGAAGAGGTCAAACTATCATTCTTTGTTGACGATATGATCTTATATCTAGAAAACTCCAACAATTCTCCCATGAGACTACTGGAATCAATAAACAAATTCAGCAAAGTCTCAGATTACAAAATCAGTGTACAGAAATCAGTAGCATTCCTATATGCCAACAACAGTCAAACTGAGAACAAAATCCAAGACTCAGTACCATTCACAACAGAAACAAAGAAAAGAAAATACCTAGGAATATATTTAACTAAGGACGTAAAAGACCGTAGAACTACAAAACACTGAGGAAGGAAACAGCAGAGGACATAAAAAGGTGGAAAATTATACCATGCTCAGGGTCGGCAGAATCAACATTGGTAAAATGTCTCTACTACCCAAAGTGATCTACAGATTCAATGCAAATCCCTATTAAAATACCAACATCATTTTTCACAGATCTAGAAAAAATAATTCTATGCTTTGTATAGAACCAGAGAAGACCCTGTATACCAAAAGCAATCTTAAGCATAAAGAACAAATTGGGAGGCATCAATTTATCATACTTCAAGCTATACTACAAGGTTATAGTAACTAAAATAGAATAATACTGGCACAAGAACGGAGACATAGATCAATGGAACAAAACTGAGAACCCAGATATAAAACCATCCTCACAGAGTCATCTAATCTTTGTCAAAGGAGACAAAAACATGCACTGGGGAAAAAGAATCCTTCCTTATTCAATAAATGGTGCTGGGAAAACTGGATAGCCACATGTAGAAGACTGAAACAGGATCCGCACCTTTTACCTCTCACAAAAATCAACTCACGCTGGATAACAGACTTGAACCTAAGAATTATAGAGGAAAATGTTGGAAAAACTCTTATAGACATTCGTCTAGACAAAGAATTTACGAAGAAGACCCCAAAGGCAATCACAGCAACAACAAAAATAAATAAATGGTACCTGATTCAATCAAAAAGCTTCTGCATAGCCAAAGACACTATCATGAGAGCAAACAGACAACATACAGAATGGGAGAGAATATGTTAGCATCTGTAAAGGGCTGATAACTATGATCTATATAGAACTTAGGAAAATAAGCAAGAAAAAATCAAACAACCCTATCAAAAAGTGGGCAAAGGACATGAACAGAAACTTTTCGAAAGAAGACAGACAAATGGCCAAGAGACATGAAAAAAAGCTCAACATGTCTAATTATCAGGGAAATACAAATCAAAACTACAATGAGATATTACTTATCTTCAGTGAGAATGACCTTTATCAAAAAGTACCGAAACAATAAATGTTGGTGTGGATGTGGAGAGATAGGAATAGTCTTACACTGCTGGTGGGACTGCAAACTAGCACAACCTCTATGGAAAGTAATATGGAGATACCTCAAAGAGCTACAAGTAGAACTACCATTTGATCTAGCAATCCCATTACTGGGCATCTACCCAAAAGAACAAAAGACATTCTATAAAAAAGACATCTATACCTGAATGTTTATAGCAGCACAATTCACAATTGCAAAGATGTGAAAACAACCCAAGTAACTATCGATACATGAGTGGATTCATAAAATGTGGCATAGGTATACCATGGAGTTCTACTCAGCCACAAAAACAATGGTGATCTAGCACCTCTTGTATTATCCTGGATAGAGCTGGAACCCATTCTTCTAAGTGAAGTATCACAAAAATGGAAAACAAGCACCACATGTACTCACCATCAAATTGGTATTAACTGATCCACACTTAAGTGCACATATAGTAGTAACATTCATCAGGTGTCGAGCAGATGGGAGGGGGGAGAAAGGGATGGGTACATAAACACCTAATGAGTGCAGTGCACACAGTCTTGGGGATGGACACACTTGAAGCTCTGACCCGGGTGGGACAAAGGCAATATACATAACCTAAACATTTGTACACCCATAATATGCTGAAATAAAAAAAAATTTTTAATCTAAGCATATACATATAGTAAAAAAATAAATTCTGGTGCTATTTTCTTCAAATCAGCTTAATTCTGAGTCTCCTTAATAGCAGTGTTTAAGCTTCCATAAAAGACAGGGAGTTTCTGCTCAATTTTTCTGCACACCCAAAACTGCTCAAAAAATAAAGAATATTAATTAAAAATACAAAAGGATAAAGAATATTAATTAAAAATACAAAAGGACAAATAGAAGGAGCTGTGTGCTTTAGGTTGGTCCAGATTGCTACCCAGCAGAAACCTCTGAGGCAAGAAAGCAGCATCTGATCCCCTGATGTAAATATATGTGCGTTGGGCAGGCAGGTGGCTTTGGTAAAGAGAGATGAGATATTAATATGATATAAATATAATTGATCTACAATAATTATGCAGATACAATACTGCCACCACAACCAAGGTGCTAAACACATCCATTACCTCCAAAAATGTCCTTCTGTTCTTCTGTGTTGTGTTGTATTGTGTTAAGAAGAGTTAACTTGAGATCTATCTTCCTAACATATTTTAAAATGCTCAATACTGTATTGTTAAACTGTGCAAGTACTGTGTCAACAGCAAATCTCTAGAACTTTTTCATCCTGCATAACTGGAACTTTATAACCGTTGAGAACAACTCCCGTATGTCCCTCTCCTGAGCCCCTGGCAGCCACCCTCCTTTACTCTGCTTTCATGAGACTGACCATCTGAAATAATTCACCACGAGTGGATACACTCCACCCCTTCTTTACTTGCAATGGTTCGTCTGGGCCAGTGGTTCTCCACTGGTGTCTCTCAGAATCACACAGGACCCTGGAACCACACCTCCCAAAAAATATAGGTGCCTGAATTATCAAACATAACCTCCCAGAAAGAGACCAGGAAATATGCATTTTGAAAAATCTCCCCAGGCAACTGTGATGTGCAACACTGATTAAGAATCACTGAATTTGAACTGATGGGTTCTGATTTCTAATTGCTCAGACATAATCCCATGTGGCTGGGGCCCCAGCTAGGAGGTCAAAAGGCTGATTGGCCAGAATTGATACACCAGGCCTGTCCCCAGGCAAGGCCTGACCAACTGCGGGGTGAAGTGCAGTGTTCAAAAGGACAAAGCAGGTGTCTCTAGAGCCAGATGTCCCCCAGAGGCAGAAGCCAGGTGCCCTGTTGCCAGCGTGTTAAGCTTGGAAGGCTGACGGAATGAATTGGGAAGGCTCTGAAGAAACAGGTGGAGAAAGCAATGAGACCCGCATGTGGCAGTAGAGGGGTCCCCAGTGAAAACTGGCTGCCCCCACTCCAAACTGAGTCAGCTGAGCATCTCAGAAAGACCAGGCAGCAGGGCAAGGCTCCACTGTACACACCCTTGCAGCATCCCATCAACTTGTACTCTTGTCTTTACAAGGCACTCCTTTTGGTTTCAGAAACTTAATTAAAATTGATAAAGGAAGACCGAAAAAAAAAAAAAGAAGTTTACAAGCCACAAAGATAACTCAAGATTTTAAAAAAGCAATCAAATAAACAATTTTATGGAAATATTTAGATGGCTGATGTAAAAAGTTGGTTAACTTGAAATAGTCTAATCAAGACTTTCATCAATTTGCACTTAGAGAATATGTGGAGAGACTTACAGATTTAGGCTTTCCTCATTCACTAAGTAACACATAAAATATAAATAACAGGTAAAAGACCATAATGCGAAAGTTCTAAAATCTTACCTCCATCAGAACAAACAGTGCTGCAAAGAATAGAAGGGTTGCCCATTCCACTCTGTGTAGAATTATCTCAAAATCATGAATATCAGCTAATATTAGCAACCAGATGGCACCCAGAATAGCAATCCACCCTGAAAAATAAGTAAAGGGACATACAGGTATAGTTCCATTGTTAACATGCCAATTAATTTATCTTCTGATTGCTTTTTTTCTTTTTTTTTTCTTTTCTTTTTATTTCAGCATATTATGGGGGTACAAATTTTAAGGATTGAAAAATGCCCTTTCCCTCCCTCCCCCTGAGGATAATTGATATACTGCACACTGCATATACTTAAAAAGTACAATTTCCATTTGGGCTTATGTGTGCACTCATGAAACAAACACTACAATCAAGATACTGAACTTACCCATCACCCCAAGAAGTTTATTCATGCCCATGTTCTTTATCCCTTCTGGCTCCTCTTGTCACCCTCACACACTCTCAGTAAACCACTCATCTCTTTTCTTACACTATAGATTGGTTTACATTTTCTATATTTTCTATAAGTGCAGATTTTCTATAAATCATATAGACATAATTTTTGCCTGAATGCTTCTCAATGGACAGATCATCCAGACAAAAAAATCAATATTCAGCATAATCATTTTAAGATCCTTCAATGCTGATGTGTGGATCAATAGTTCATTCCCTTTTTTATTGTTTAACAGTATGCCATTGTATGGATATGCTACAACGTATATACCATTCACCTATTAATGGACATTCGGATTGTTTCTATTTTTTTGTTGTTGTTATTTCAAATGAACATGCATGAACATTTATTCATATACAATTCTTTATATGTACATAAGCTTTCAGTTCCCTTGGGTAAATACCTAGGAATGGGATGGTTGGGTCACATGATAAGTTAATATTTCAGAATGTTATATGTAACAGTTATGTTTTAAGAAACTTCAAAACTATTTTCCAAAATGGTTGTACCATTTTACAATGCTACCAGCAGTGTATGAGAATTCTAGTTCCTCCATACCTTCACCAAGACTTGGTCAGCTTTTTTGATTTTAGATATTCCAATGGGAGTAAGTGGTACCTTATTGTGGTTTCAAATTACATTTCCCTACTGACTAATAATGTGGAACATCTATTCATGTACTTATTTGCCATCCATGTATCTTCTTTCACAGAGTTTTTGTTCAAATAGTCTGTTCATTTTTTTTCTTACTGGATAGAGCAAATGAAACCCAAAATAAGTAGAAGAACACAAATAATAAAGATTAGAGCAAGAACCCATGAAATAGAAAGTGGAAAAATATTAGAAAAAAGCAATGATACCAAAACCTTGTTCTTTGAGAAGACTGGTAAAATTGATAAACTTTTAGGATAAAATATGAAAAAACAAATTGCTAATATTAAGAATAAGATCAGTGACACGAGTATAGATTCTATAGATATAAAAAGTTTACAGTTTTCTATAGCTGCCATAACAAATTTTATCATAACATGGTGGCTTAAAATAGCACCTATTTATTATATCACAGTTTTTATAGGTCAGAGTATGGTGGGTTCAAAGCAGGGTGTCCGACTAGAGTCTCATAAAGCCAAGTCAAGGTGTTGGCAGGGCCACATTCCTTTTTGGAAGCTCTAGGAGAGAATCTGTTTCCTTGTTCACTCAGGTTCTTCACATAATTCAATTTCTTGCAATTGTAAAACTGGAACCCCTGTTTCCTTGCTGGTTGTCACCCAAAAGCTGTTCTCAGCTTCTAAAGGCTACCCACAATCTTGGCTCATGCCCCCTTCCTCCACCTCCAAAGCCAGCAATGGTGACTTGAGTCCCTGTCACATTTCAAATCTCTCCTGCTTCTTCTTCTGCTACATCTCTCTAACAGACTCTTCTATCTTCCTCTTCCATTTTTAGGCCCATGTTATTTCATTGGGTCTACCTAAATAATCCAGAAAAATCTCCTTGTATTAAGGTTTATAACCTAAATTCTACATGCAAATTTCCTTTGCTATGTAACATACACAGGCATTACCACCAGGAATTGGAGTGTGGGCACCTTTGGGTGAGGAGGGGTATATATGGGTTAATTTGGGAAGAATTCGCATTTTAAAAATATATCATAAAATCTTTTAACCTATGAACATAATATATATATCCATTTATTCTATCTTCTTTAATTTTTGCTGAGAATGTTTTGTATAAATCCAAGCAATCTTCTGTACAGAAATAACAGACTGATTCTAAAATTCATATAAGAATGCAATACTACCAAAGTGATCTACAGATTCAATGCAATCCTATTAAATACCAACATCATTTTCACAGATCTAGAAAATAATTCTATGCTTTGTATAGAACCAGAGAAGACCTGTATACAAAAGCAATCTTAAGCATAAAGAACAAATTGGGAGGCATCAATTTATCATATTAAGCTATACTACAAGTTATAGTAACTAAAATAGAATAAACTGGACAAGAATGGAGACATAGATCAATGGAACAAAACTGAGAACCCAGATATAAACCATCTCACAGATCATCTAATCTTTGTCAAAGAGACAAAAACATGCACTGGGGAAAAGAATCTTATTCAATAAATGGTTGGAAAACTGGATAGCCACATGTAGAGGACTGAACAGGATCCGCACCTTTTACCTCTCACAAAAATCACTCACGCTGGATAACAGACTTGAACCTAAGAATTATAGAGGAAAATGTTGGAAACTCTATAGACATTCGTCTAGACAAAGAATTTATGAAGAAACCCAAAGGCAATCATAGCAACAACAAAAATAAATAAATGGTACCTGATTCAATTCAAAAGCTTCTGCATAGCCAAAGACACTATCATGAGAGCAAACAGACAACATACAGAATGGGAGAGATAGTAGCATCTGTAAGGGCTGATAACTATGATTATATAGAACTTAGGAAAATAAGCAAGAAAAATCAAACAACCTATCAAAAGTGGGCAAAGGACATGACAGAACTTTCGAAAGAAGACAGACAAATGGCCAAGAGACATGAAAAAAAGCTCAACATGTCTAATTATCAGGGAAATGCAAATCAAAACTAAATGAGATATTACTTATCTTCAGTGAGAATGACTTTATAAAAAAGTACCGAAACAATAAATGTTGGTGTGGATGTGGAGAGATAGAATAGTCTTACACTGCTGGTAGGACTGCAAACTAGCACAACCTCTATGGAAGTAATATGGAGATACCTCAAAGAGCTACAAGTAGAAACTACCATTTGATCTAGCAATCCATCTATGGCATCTCCCAAAAGAACAAAAACATTCTATAAAAAGACATCTTTACCTGAATGTTTATAGCAGCACAATTCACAATGCAAAGATGTGAAAACAACCCAAGTCCTATCGATACATGAGTGGATTCATAAAATGTGGCATAGGTATACCATGGAGTTCTACTCAGCACAAAAACAATGGTGATCTCGCACCTCTTGTATTATCCTGGATAGAGCTGGAATCCATTCTTCTAAGTGAAGTATCACAAATATGGAAAACAGCACCACATGTACTCACATCAAATTGGTATTAACTGATCCACACTTAAGTGCCATATAGTAGTAACATTCATCAGGTGTCGGGAGATGGAGGGAGAGAAAGGGCATGGTACATAAAACCTAATGAGTGCAGTGCACACAGTCTTGGGGATGGACACACTTGAAGCTCTTGACCCGGGTGGGACAAAGGCAATATACATAACCTAAACATTTGTACACCCATAATATGCTGAAATAAAAAAAAATTTTAATGTAAGCATATAGTAAAAAAATAAATTCTGTGCTATTTCTTCAATCAGCTTAATTCTGAGTCTCCTTAATAGCAGTGTTTAAGCTTCCATAAAAAGACAGGAGTTTCTGCTCAATTTTCTGCACACCCAAACTGCTCAAAAAATAAAGAATATTAATTAAAAATAACAAAGGATAAAGATATTAATTAAAAATACAAAAGGACAAATAGAAGGAGCTGTGTGCTTTAGGTTGGTCAGATTGTACCAGCAGAAACCTCTGAGGCAAGAAAGCAGCATCTGATCCCCTGATGTAAATAATGTGCGTTGGCAGCGGTGCTTTGTAAAGAGAGATGAATAATTAATAGTATAAATTAATTGATCTACAATAATTATGCAGATACAATACTGCCACCACAACCAAGTGCTAAACACATCCATTACCTCCAAAAATGTCCTTCTGTTCTTCTGTGTTGTGTTGTATTGTGTTAAGAAGAGTTAACTTGAGATCTATTTCCTAACATATTTTAAAATGCTCAATACTGTATTGTTAAACTGTGCAAGTACTGTGGCAACAGCAATCTCTAGAACTTTTTCATCCTGCATAACTGGAATTATAACCGTTGAGAACAACTCCCGTATGTCCCTCTAGCCCCTGGCAGCCACCCTCTTTACTCTGCTTTCATGAGACTGACCATCTGAAATAATTCACCACGAGTGGATACACTCCACCCCTTCTTTACTTGCAATGGTTCGTCTGGCCAGTGGTTCTCCACTGGTGTCTCTCAGAATCACACAGGACCTGGAACCACACCTCCCAAAATATAGGTGCCTGAATTATCAAAACATAACCTCCCAGAAAGAGACCAGGAATATGCATTTTGAAAATCTCCCAGGCAACTGTGATGTGCAACACTGATTAAGAATCACTGAATTTGAACTGATGGTTCTGATTTCTAATTGCTCAGACATAATCCCATGTGGCTCGGGCCCAGCTAGGAGGTCAAAAAGGCTGATTGGCCAGAATTGATCACCAGGCCTGTCCCCAGCAAGGCCTGACCAACTGCGGGGTGAAGTGCAGTTTCAAAGGACAAAGCAGGTGTCTCTAGAGCCAGATGTCCCCAGAGGCAGAAGCCAGGTGCCCTGTTGCCAGCGTGTTAAGCTTGGAAGGCTGATGGAATGAATTGGGAAGGCTCTGAAGAAACAGGTGGAGAAAGCAATGAGACCCGCATGTGGCAGTAGAGGGGTCCCCAGTGAAAACTGGCGCCCCACTCAAACTGAGTCAGCTGAGCATCTCAGAAAGACCAGGCAGCAGGCAGGCTCCACTGTACACACCCTTGCAGATCCATCAACTTGTACTCTTGTCTTTAC